GTGGTAACAAATGAAAATGTCTCTCACAACCATGGTATTTAAAAATTGCTTGATTCATTGTTGTTATGAAAGTCTAATTTTAAACGGCTCTTTTCTTCAAGGGAGATAATTTAAGAAATTTTATTTTTAAGTTTTATTATCTCCCTTCGATCTAAAATCAAAATTATGACTTTTTTTTTTTTTTTTATACCATTCCTTTGCAAATATGAAAATACTTTTTCTTTACAATTTCTTCTTAATTAAACTATTTTACTTTTGGAAAACATTAAATTTAATTTTTTTAAAATGCTTACATAATTCTCAGTGCTAAATTTTAGAATTTTTGTTGGCTGTTCTGCTGCCATAGTTGTTTGTGACTCTGTCTATCTTCCTACAGCACGTATCCCTCAATATTCTCGACCAGGACTGCGGAAAGCAGGTTTGTACTTGCTCAGCTGCTGTTGGACCGCATCTCATCTCCCATGATCTTCCACCCAGCTAAATATTGTGATTACATATCAAGTCCACCCCTTCAAACACTCTGCTCAGTGCAAACAACCTGTAGTAATTAAGAATAAAAAATTTTTAAAAAAGTCCCTTTTAAGATTTAGCAGCTGCAAATCGTTTTAGTTTATTACAAATTGCCACTTAATTCATTTAATAAATTTCATTATTCTACTTACAAGAAAAAATTAAAGCTGAAATGTCAAACATTTGCCATTGCAAATGGTCTGGAGATGTTATGTATAACACTTCATAATAGAGATGCAATGGTATTAAGAATTCATATTGTGCTTATGACAAAAATAATTACAATGAACAGTATGATTGCAGTATTTGTAAAATATCATGCTCATGTTAAACAATGTTGATACACATGCTGAAATTATTCCTCCAAATAAAATATCAACACTATGCATTTTTGTATGCATCACTTCTAAAATAGTGACATTAATAATGATAATAATATTGAGAGTGATTATTCATTAACATTAAAGATAGCATTATGACACTGTGACTATGAGAAAGAACTGTACATAGTGCACAATGCAAATAAGCAAAATAACTGTTAAAAAGATGTTTCTTCATACTTTATCCTAATATAATGATACTCATCAGCAAATTTTCAAATGAAAATGCAAGGATATCAGTATATTTATTTTGTCTGGTTTAAGTAGTGACCTGTGAGAGGAAATGATACACCCATTGGCATTGAACACTCTCTCCCTCTCACACACACACACACTCACATATGGGTTAGTGGGATGCACAAAAACCTCCTGCAAGTTGTATGTCAGTTTTAATGCATGCTCCTCTCTTCTGCTGGAATAAGTGGCAGGCAAGAATTTCATTTCTATCTTCTGTGGTGGTAAGAATCTCAGTTTGACTTCATTGAGATAATCTTTGTCATCACCCCAGCCAGCAGGCTTTTAACCTTTGATGAGTGTGGTAGAGTTATTGATGGGGGTTTTATAATTCTTCTTTGGCTTGTATCAGTGCCATCTTCAAAGCAGTCTCTTGGACACAATGGTTATTTGTTGCAGGCTCACTTAAGAATGAGTCTTTAAAGTGAGTTTCAACAAAGCAAGTCATATGCATGGCACTCTTTATCTTCCTTGTGAGCCTCCTCTTTTTTTTCTCCAGAACATCATAAGTAATATGGCCCAGGGCAGGTATAATGGCTGACAGTGTCACTTGTTTCTGACACAAGTGCATCAATAAACTTGCATCATGATACTGGTCTTTGCATCAATGAGCATCAGTCATCATGTTCCTCTTTCTCTACACAGTGTTGCACAGGCTGCTTATACTTGGCCAAGGAAATGCTTGAGTATCTTGTGTGTTGATCAGGTCACCACATCATGCATTAACACTTTCTGTGGTATATTGAGGGCAGCTAATTTTTCTTTTGGTGGGGGTGGAGTGGGGTGTAGTCATGTAAGTAAGAAAGAAATGGTCACTAATAGGAATCCATTTTAACTGAGTTTCCATACATTGTCACTGGTAACGATGATTAAATTTTTAAGAAATATTACTAATTGCCAGAAATTCCATTACAGCTTATAAAACTGGTAACTGTTGCATCTCTACTTGATAATTTCAGTTTTAGAACTGAAGTACATTTTTTAAACAATCTGTTATATGCTCAGTACTTAATTTGAATGTTGCTTTGCAATAAAATAGTTGTTTATAAAGAATTATTAGTATAATATACTACAAGTATCCTACAATTGATGGAAACAATTTTTGGTTGGCATTCTGCTTTAAAGCACTTCTGCATGCAAGTGTATATGCACATCTTGTCATAGCTCTGAAAAAGATTCAGTAATTGGTATCAAAAGTTAAATGAATGTTTAAGCTAAACACAAAATATTCTCAGAATAGTCACTTAGTTTACTGTAGGAATCTTACTTACAATTGTTTTAGAAATTGATGAAAGAATTCTCATTTTCTTATTGTTTTTATCCACCTGAGCTGAGTGTTATTTGGTGAAGGAACACATCAATGCTTGCTTTTTTTTTCTTGCTTAAACAGGGCTTTAATCAAATATGGTGTCTAATGTGTCTTTAATTTTGCACTAGAAAAACCTTTGGATTACTCCACTGATCACTGCTGCTCTAATTCTGGTAGCATGTAGGTTATTATTGCTCTACAACTATTGGACATTGGCTTCACTTTTTTATTTAAATGTTTTTTTTTTTTTTTATTATATTTACTTTTCACATTTGTAGATAACAGTTGTTGATTTAATTTAGTTAACTTGCTTCACAGTGGGAAGATAACATGCATGTTAACAATATAACTTTCCTAACTTAGTTCCCTTGCTTCTATTATTGAAAATATGTGACTACTGGATGTTTCCTTAAATTTATATGAACTAAATTGGATGCATATTTTTTAACCTTTGATTTTTAATTTTTAATAATAATTGTGAAAATCTGGGAAATTGTAGAAAGATATTTACTAATAATTTGAGAAGTATCAGCTTGGCTTTTTCTTTTTACAGATTCTCTTATTTGGATTTTATAATTTCTTTTTAATAGTAAAAGATTGCTGTAAAACAAATAAAAAAAAACAATAATAATCATCCTCAAATACTATGTTTTGAATTATTAGTAATACTTATTGTTCTATATTAATATTGTAAATTGTTAAATATGTATCATTATCTGAAAATATTTCTTTCTGAGTAAATATAGTGGTAGACTTTAATGAGCAGATCTTCTATGTCAGTAAAGTTTATTATACAAATAAACTGAAATCCATGATTCAAATTTTGTATATATATATATATATATATATATATATTAATGTGTATTTGGGCAGCAACCTTTCTTTCATTGAAAATGGCCAACAAGGAAGATTTAATTAATCTTTTATTAAGTTTTTCCAGCATTCTAACATTTTTCCATTTTTCAGGGGTTAAAGTATGTAGAAATTGTCCTTAGTACTTTCAGCTAGTTCTATAGCCATTATCAAGGATGTTGGTAAATTTCATGTGTTAACTTCTACATAGTAGTTTAGCTGTGTGGAGTACATGCAGTGGTTATGTGTGACTGGTTGACCTAGGCATCACTTCTATTTTTAGAAAACCTATACCACAGTGTTTTCACTGCTAAAGGGTGTGAGATTGACAGCAGGAGAACAGTATTTAATTAGCTATTCTTCCTTAATAACGAGTTGTCTACGACTATGTAATTTGAAAAGAATTTTTGTATTATCTACTAGAATTTTCCTTAAAAGTTCTTGTAAATTATGAGTTAATACTTATTAATCACACTGTTTTGAAAGGTGACATGCAAGATGTCTGCTTAAGGAGGTAGTGTGTGTGTATATATATATATATATATATATATATATAAAATAATAATAATAATAAACATTATTCCCTATTTAGTACTTTCATTTTTTGAAAAAGAAAAGAAATTTAAAACATTGAATTGAGCCCAAAAGGAAATCTCAATTATGTTGATAAACTTTATTCTAAAACATTAGAAAGTTGAGTTTTTTTATATTTTTTTTTAATTCATAAATATCACAAAAAGCTTTAATATTGGATTTATATTTTCTTCTGTAACCAAAAGTGAAATCAATGGCTTGTTAGAAAGAAATAATATGCTTAAATTTACACCCACAACTTTTTCACATATGTTGTCTTTGCTTATATCATTTTAATGTTTAATTTTGAAAGTAATGTAAACTTGATATCAAAGATTGTGAATTGTTTGGGTTTTAGCGGGTTAAAAGCAACCTATTATATAGGTTAAAGTAATTGAAAAGTGGAATTGGTATTGAAACCAGTATGTATTGAGAAGATTCCCAAACAACCAATCTTACTAATAAAAGGAACTTGAAATTTTAATGAGCAGTTAATTTTTAGATCATATAATCATTAGCTTATGAATACCTTGATCTTTCATTTTGGATGCACTTTAAATGTTTTAACATTTTAAATACAATGAACTTATTGATCAGAATGCATGATTCTTTCTTGAAATTTGTTACATGACATGTCCTTTTTTTATATTATAAGGAAAATTTTAATTTTGTATTGACATGTGGCTTAAATGCAATGTATCAAATTTATTTCTGTGAAATAAGGTTTGTAAGTTAAAGTTCACTTAATGTTACATATTAATTTTTGATTACAGCATTCAGTAATTAGATTTATTCTCTCTTTTTTTTTTTTTTTTTTTTTTTTTTATACATTTAAATTTAATTCTCTAATGAATTAAAATTTTACATAGAGTATTTATTTCTTTTTCAGAAAATTTTGTAGAATTGACTAGTCTCTTGTCTGATGTTTTATATTTTACCACTTTGGACTTGTACTGGCTTGTGTATCTTGATGTTTGATTCATGCTCGAATTGAAAATTTGAACATTTTTCTTTCAAAATCTGTAATATTGGATTTTTTTTTTCTCTTATTCTCTAACCATGCTTTATTTTTATTTTATTTTTTAAACTGATTAATTAATCATTTTAATTGAGTTTTCATTTCCCTTTACTTTTCTCTACAGTGTCTATGAATCTACTTGCCAACCAAGGTAACTCTAGTCGCTCTGGGTTTGGCCGGCGCCCACCATCTCCAGGTAATGGAAAATTTCACATTAAACTAATACAAAAAAGTTTTCAATGACAACTTTTTAGTGAATTGTTATTTAAAAAGTTTTATTTTAATAAATGCTAAGGTTTCAGATACATTTTTTAAGATCTAAAAATTCCTGGATATGAACCATTTTGGACTTCTGACTATAGTTCATGGAAATTTGTGCAAAAACTTCAATTTATAGCTTGTTAATCTCATTTTTTTTTTTTTTTTTTTTTTATCTCCTGCTGCTAGTGCTTGTCTAGAAATTGAAAATTGCTGAGTGTGCTGCTTGTCTTAAATGTTGCTATTGTTATTTGCCATGGCAACTCTTTCCACCCAACTTCTGTTGCTCTGTTTAAGATTTAATTCAAATATTTGCTGAACACTGAAAATTTGCCCAATTACTTGTCATGCTCTGTGAAATTTCTCCAGTTATATCTTCAGTTATGTATTTTTGGTGCAGCTTCTTTTCCCAGATATATGCATCAATCCAAACATTCACTTATTAAAATGAAAGAAAAACAACAAATATCATGAACAGTATTTGCATTTCCTTGGCATTAGTTTTCGTGTTGACTGTATTTTTATTTTTAAACTTGCTTGACAGAAAAAGCTTATGTTGCATGTCAAATTATGTTGAAAAAGTTAGACTAAAATCAAAATAGGGAAAACTATTTCAGATTGCTTTTTCAATGTAGGATTTGAATTATTAATTTATAGATTAGATATAATCACTGAAACAAAATATCTAGTTTCTTAAGCAAAAAAAAAACGTCCCTTTATTTTAATCTCAAAATTTCTCCCTCGTCATGCTCTTCATTTTTGTAAATTTTTATAAAAAAATGTATAAATAATTGATATTTCATAATGTCCAAAATCTGTTCAGATTATGGAATATTGACTTGGAGATGATTATCTCCTTTAGATTTCAGTTATGTGTAGAGTAGTTAATTTGTTCTGTAAATTTCTTGCATAAGAGCTCTATTGAAAATAGTAATGCCATTTATGTACAGAGTTGAACAACTGTGTGCATAAATGACATGATATGAAAATGACTATCAAATTACAAGGCAGAACAAATATAGCTTATTATATTCTAACATTTTTGTATCCTTTTTAAAAAATATTTTTTAATATTTAAATGATTTTGTATTTTAGTAAATTAGTTTTATGTCTTAACTAACTCCAGATACCAGAAAATATAAAATATTCTAAAATCATTATTGGGTTAACATAATAATTATTGTACTACTTTTTATCATTGATTGTGGAGACATAATGCATTCATCAGATTTATAAGAGTGATAAGCTGTATATTAATAAAAGATATTATTAATATCAATTACTTAAAAAAAAAAAAAAAAAAAGGAAAATACTTTATTGCATGACTCTGACAAGTGTCAGGAAGTTCCTGTTACTATGGTTGCTTAATAAATTATAATCTGTCTTATTCCTGATTATCTTCCTGATATTGTAAGCACCTTTGTGTTTATTCCCCTTTCCTTCTTTCACATTTTCCTTTTTAGTTAAAGAACATGAAAATATCGGCTGGTTGATCTTGGCTAGACCAATAACAACTAACTACTGAGATTAGCCTTGCATAGTATTGCTATGAAATAATAAAATTAATAAGTTTTCTATTGTGTGTACAAAAGCAAACCACCAAGTAGTTTATTCCACACCACCTAATCTGAATTATATGAGGAGCCATACTTGAGATTCATCAGTGATTCTCTCTCTCTCTCTCTACCCCTCTCTCTGAATAGAGCTTAGTGATAAAAGAAAAAAACAAAGACCATTTTTATTGTTCTTCCTCTTCCTGTAGTGATGATGAACCTTTTCACGCATCAAACTTTTACTGGTCGCACTGGATTTGGCAGACGGCCTCCGTCACCAGGTAAATATTTCTTGCTCATTAGCAGCATGTGGCAGTTATACTTGATTATCACCAGGAACCTGGTCGCATGGATAATATGGAGCATCTGTCTTCCCATGTTTCTTACTCAGCATAGCTCTTATCACATTCATAAAACAAACTTATAATTTGATATTTGCATTGTAGTAACTAGTTTGAAAACTAATTTTTCAGAAAATCTTTTGTAAAAAATCATTAGGTTTTACACTATATCTTGATTCTTATTAAAATGTGTATACTGAGATTAACAAAGTAACTTACTAGCATTTGATAATCTAGTTACACTGAAAAGTTACTTCAATATATATATATATATATATATATATATATATATATATAATATTTTCTATATCTGTTTACTGGCTACTTTTATCTTCAACTGAAACGTTTATCATTACAAGAAGCTTATCTATTGCTTCTGCTTATATCATAAATTTAACTACAAATTTTTTTTTTTTTTTTTTTTTCATTGCTTTAAAATGCAATTTTGATAGGATCTAAATCATCTATATATGGACAAAATATGTGAACTGAATCTGTATATAATAAACAAATTGTTTGATTGCTGTATTTAGTTCATATCTATTTTTTAATGCATGCGTTTTCTTGAATAGATAATCAACCACATTTATTACTGCTTTTTTCTTCAATTTAGAACACCTTGAGTTTAAAATTTCACCTTCCCAAGAATGTCACTAAAGCATGCATCTTCTATCCACTTTTACTTCCTCCCCCACCTTTTCTACAGGGTATAGACAATATTGGTTTTTTGACTATTCATTTATTATTGTATGTAACTAATTTTGTCTTTACAGGAATGTCACTGACCAAGTACAACATCAGCATGTAGTTCCTATCACATGAGCTTGCATTTATTTAAAGTATATTACTAGTTAATAATATTCCTTTTAATTTTTTATTTGTATTTTATTAGCAAAGATGTTTATGATAGAAAAATGCAAAGATCCTGAATGATTTTTAAAGAAATAGAAAAAAACATTTTATTTTTGCAATTTAAATAATTTAATTTCAGTTCTTTAGAAGCTCTGATCATAATGAACAAATTTCTGATTTTTAAGTTTTTATTCAAAATATAATTTTCATTCTGTATTTTAAGCCACACTAATATTTTTAAAGTTATACAAAAAACACAAGCACGCATATTTGATTCTCTTAAAATAAAAATAAAAGGCTTCTCTAAACAACTTTCTCACAGCAATTTATTTATTTAAAAAACAAAAACAAAAACTCAAATGTTGAAGTGTTTGGTGGCTATAAGCTATTCTTTAAAAACTTGGAATGGCTGTTGAGGACATTTATTTTTCTCATTACTTTTAGATAATCTAATAAAAAGGAATCAAATCACAAGAAATGCCACTCACTATTTTGCCAACTCCATTCTCAAATATTAATCTGTTTCTTTTTTATATAGATCTTTACCGTTTTGGCAGAAAGAGTGGCAAGAGTACTGAAAGCAGTAGTGATGCAGGTTCAACAGCAGGCTCTGATTATACAGGTACTAAAACACTTTCAATAAACCAACTCTCATCTAGTTCTCTTTTGATAGCCACCAAATCATTTATTTATACTGGTCATAATAAAATGCCATTAATAGAATTGGTCATAAATGTTAATCAAGGACTTTGCTTTTAGTACTGCATGCTGACAATTTTTTGTTACATTCATTTATGTGTATTTGTTCCTCATACTCCCTTCTCATTTATCAGTGTGTTTGTGTGTGTGATATATACTTTTAGGTATTGCTGATGAAATATTTGTGTATCTTCATTAAACAGATTTTGAGCTTGTATGATGGGTGTCTAGGATAACTCTTCAGCTCCCCGTTTTTATTTCTAATACAAAAGTCTAAAAACAATCCATTTTACGCTGAACCCTAAAAGCAATTGAATTTATTCATTACTCTTACTTGTATATTCAGAATAATTTTCCAGCCATGTTTCTTTATTTTTGCTAAAGAGAAGAAAATTTTCACTCTAAATTAATTGGTGGGATACATTTTCATTCTTGCCTTTTTTATGTGGTGATAAGTTTTTGTTTTAGGGCAGAATTTTATTATTTTTGTTTCCAATAGGCAGTTTGGAAATTTTATCAGCTCTTCTTGTGCTGATAGAGAAACTAAATTAGATCATAATTTGATTGTAATGAAATAAAAGAATTATCATCTGCACCCTTAACTTTAAAAACAAGAAGTTTCTTCATAGAACAAGAATTTTTGCTTAAATTCTTTGTATTGTCTAAAATGCAATAATATAAGTATTTTACCCATGCCATAAAAAATGGCAGCATAAATTAAGATATACTATTAGGCTTTTCTATGTGAGTCCTTAAATATATCCCCCCCCCCCAATTATTATAGATTACTAATTTATGCATTCATATAACAATGTCTTACAATTCTAATCTTTTACCTTTTTTGCCTTTTCTAGATTTCACAGTTGATCCTTTCTTTGTATTATTCACTCAACCAACCTGCCATTGTTATCACAATACCCTGCCACTTTGCATCAACAGTACAAGGCAGATAACTTGTTCTTCTTTGCACTGGCATCATTAAAAGTTACAGACAAAAATATGCACATATATTGAGCATATTATATAGTAACTATTATACAAGTTGTAACCTAGGTACCTTCATGAGATTGCAAAAAAAAAAGAGAGCGTAGTCTGATGAAAAAGACGCCAAACTTGACGAAAACAAAATTTTTTTGTCTAAATGTTTGTTATTATTAAGAGGAAAGACTGAAGTATTTTTTAATTATTTTTAAAAATTTTTCCTTTTTTAGAACATTTTAAATTTTGATTAAAAAAAAAAAACAACAAAAAAAAAAACCTTGTTTCTCTTTGTATCACCGAAACTAGTAAAATAACAAATTTTTAGCATGTTTTTTTTTGTATGACAGACATTAATTTGGAAAATCTTGCAAAAATAAAAATAATTGTCGAATGTTAATGAAACTTTCAGAAACTATTCACAAATGATGGAAATTATTATAAATATATCTTCTTTTATTAAAGTCATGAAAAAAAAAGATATTTTATATATATATATAATAGCACATCATAAATTGTATAATTTGGATCAATCAGAAGACATGCAGTAATTAAGAAATGTAATTTTGAGTTTATAATATGCCTGTAATTAATACAGAAGACCAGAAAGAACACAATTAAGTTGCGTTATTTGAGTTAAGCATTGTTCTCTGCCGTTAAGGCCTTTATTTTTGCGAAACGCATGTGGAGAAGTTAATTTGATTTTTCAACTGAGAATGGTACCTACAAGTATTAGTATCATCTTATGAAGTTTATATGATCTTATTTTTATATTAATTTCAGTTATGACATTTTTCCATAAATGAAATATCAAAATTAATAAAATGAATGGAAATACAAATAACACAGTAAAATGTAATAAATGTACATAAAATTATAGTATTTTATGTACACTTCTGATAAAATTTCATAAGAAAGGTATCTAATTAATTTATAGGTACCTTTCTTATGAAATTTAATCTCACTTTCAACAGTCTTATTTTAATTTTTTATAATATATTTTCCATAAAGCATCCTAAATATAAAGGTGAAAGCTAAGTGAAAAAAAAAAAAATTAGAGTGCTGAAAGTTTTCCTTAAAAATAACAACAGGTAAATAATTTGTTCACTTAAATCTAAATAACTTCTAAATATCACTTCTGTCCTCCCATATAAATTTTCCTCATGTAATGTGATGAAATACTCAATCATCACCTGTCAAGTGATGCAAAATGTTATGACCTGCTTTATTTTATTTTTAAACTACTTCTTTTCGGCGCAGAAACTAAGTAATGCTGTTTCAAAGTTTTTTAAGTAAAGATTATAATTTCTAATTTTCTTAAAATAAGTTTTGAAAAAATTAAAATTGATTTTTAAAAGAATTTGAAACTGAGATTTTCATTTTCTTTATGAAATGGGAAAAAATGGTTGACATGATTGATTATCTGTCAATTTTTCTGACTCAAAAAAAGAAAGAAAAAAAAAGATTTTTAACAAATTTTGGACATGCTAAGAATGATTAAAAAATGTAAAAAAAAAAAAAATACCCCCAAAATATTTTGATCTTTCCTCTTAAGAACATAAACATTTAGACAATAAAATTTTTTCGTCAAGTTTGGTGTCTTTTTCGTCATGCTATGCTCTTTTTCAGCAATCTCATGAAGGTACCTATTAATCCTTTTTGCTTTGTTCAAATCTGAGTAACAGTAGTAACTGATGAATCAGTGGTTCTCTGGGTGTGCTTACAATCAATTTTAAAATGGTAGAAATTCAAAAACCATGCTATTTTTCTTTTCTTTTTTTTTTATGTTTAAAATCAGGCTTCCATCTGGAATTGTCCAGAAGTATTAAATGTTGTACATCTGAGTTAATTTTGTTTTTGTTTTTTCCTTACTAACATAAACAAAAATCTCCTCCCCCTTCCCCACAAAATACTATAGTGACAGTTTCTTTTATGCAATTGATGTTTCAGCAAAAAGATTTATTCTTTGAGTATAAAATCTTTCATTTTCCTGCCCAGTTTCACATCATAATAGCAGCTGTAATAGTCATATTTCTTAACCTTTTACATTCAGTAAAATGTTTATTGTATCTTCACAATGTTTAAAGTCAGCAGCAGCTCTGTTCATGAATAAATTATGCTTAAATTTTACTTGATTTTAATAGTATTAAGCCATTTTCAATCATATTACTTTTTAAGTAATACAGATTGTAAAAAATATTTACCCCAATTATATTGTTGGTAAGGCTGAGTTAAAATTTAATTTGGCATGTCTTTATGCAAAAATTATAATGTAAATCAAAATAGTTTTGCAAAAATTGAATTGATCAATAAAAATGTTTCTTTATATTAAACAAATTCAACTTTAACAAAAATTAAAAATATTCCAGATGAGAATGCTTTTAGTATTTCTAAAGAATTACTTTAAAAATCTAAAATGTTGTAAGAAATCTTGTAAATTTATTGAGGGCATGTTTATCAAAATATTTTGTTGCATATTAAACAAGTTTGGATGTAAATCCTAAAACCTCAGTCATTGTACCCATTTGATCATTATTTTGTTTTAATTTAAAAAAAAAAAAAAAAGTTTATGAAACCGCTAATTATTTGAGAAATAGGCAGTATTAAAATTGTTATTGAAATTCATCTTTACTCCACTCATCTGTAAGTCCATTGCTGCAATATATTGTCTTTGATTATTGTATCAATTGCTCAAGCCATATTTATTCTCATATACATTGGCAGGATCTTCCTTATGTTTAATAGTTAAACAGCTTTATTGACAGATTTTTTATTTTTATTTTTTCAACTTTCCTCCTCTTTCCCTGTCTATTTTAGGTCCGAAGCTGTTTGTGAAACCTAGCTCAAAATCTAATAGACACATTATTATCAATGCCATTAGTCATTGTTGTCTGGCTGGATCTGTAAATACAGATCTCAAAAATAAAGTATTAGAGGTAAGCAATCAAATGGTCATTTTTTCTTATTTTTCTTTCTTATTTGTTAGATTAGCAACATTGTTTGATTTTTAAAAAAAACTTGGTCTGTTTGCCATATTGTAAAAAATACTTTTCACTCTATTTACTCTAAAGTTTTCATTTTTCCTCCTTAGGAAATTGCTAAGTCTGATGCCAAGCATTTTGTGATATTATTCCGTGACGCTGGCTGTGCATTCCGGTCATTGTATGCATATTATCCAGAAAGAGAAGAGGCTGTCAAAATTCATGGAATTGGACCAAAACTAGTTACTAGTAAAAATATTGAAAAGTACTACAAGTAAGTTTCTAATACTGAATATGTGAATATCTTGATAGAGATTTTTAAAAAATCCTATGAATTAATGATTTTAATGGGTTTGCTTTATGCATATCATTTTTTAATCTTTAATATAGGAAAATTTTGAAATTTTTTTTTAAATATTACTTCATGTTCCTGGAATCCAGTACAGTTTTTAATGCTAAAAATAAACTGAAATTCCTTGTTAATAAAGATAAATCCTAATATTTAAATTTAATACTACTTTCCATAAAACAAACACATCTGGTTATGCTACATACAGTGTATGATTATTTTCTCTTTATTGAAATGGGACTTACAATAAATATTATGCTTTTATTAATACATTGTGGCAAGAGTGTCTAAAATTTTGAATTTTGGTAGTAAAATTCATTAGAAGCACAAAATGAATAGAAATAGTGTTCAAGTTAATTTTTCATTTCTCAAAATTGGATTGAGTAAAATAAAAATAAGTTAAATTTATTGCAGTCATGCAGTAACATTAAGAGCAAATAATGTAAATTAATTGTAATTCTTTGTTTTTTGGTTTATTTTTTGGGGGTTTTTTTTTTTTTGGGTTTTTTTTTTAATTAGGAAATGTAAAGTTAATTGTACATGATTATTGCTGATGAACTTGTAAAAGTCTTCCTTTCATTAAAGATGACCTATAAGCTCTTTGACTGTTATTCCATTGATGACATTTAATTTGATCTGAAATTTCACTAGATAATGGTCAATCTATAAAAGTATTAGGTCTTCATTAGCAAAGAAGATTATTGCAATTTTTTTTTTTTTTTTTAAGTAGGATACAGAATTAATAACTTGTTTCTTTTTATGTATGTGTGTGTGTGTGTGTGTAATACTGAATAAGGATGTAATTTTAATTTTTCTTCTTCTTCTTCTCTATTCCAGGTATAACTCTGGTGGGAAAAGCTTTTCTGAAGTGACTTCTACCAAACATTTATCTGTGTCTATTGATGCTGTTGTCATTAATGGCAACTTATGGAAAAACAGCAAATCTATTTCACGAAGATAATTCCACCTGTTCTTTAACCAGCAATTGTCCAAATGAAATCACATTTGTATTACTTACTTCTTCCACTATTCTGTCTGCAGTTTTGGCTACAGAAACAATGAGGCTGTTATAGTCTGCAACTCCCAGTCATCCATTGATGCCTGAAATCTCAAGTTCCTTACATAATGTTGAGGGGTGACTACTACAACTACTACCAACACCATCACTGTGACATCTAACATCACCACTGCTGGCATTTGGTGTTATGAGTTGATGTGAAGCCCATTTTGTTTATTGGCCATTTGATTGTGAAAAGATGGTCCTTTGTAATATTAACAATTACTCTATCCTGTTCACCATTAAATGAGCATTGGACACATCAACACCATTCTTAGTTGTGATTGGAGCATTTATTTAAGATATATCAGTTATCAGATTAAAGCACCTGACCACAAAACTCCTTAAAAAAAAAGAAAAAAAATTGATAGAATCAAAATCTTTAGCTCTATAGATAGGAATAAATTTCATTGAGAAGGTTCTAAATACAAATCTTCAAAATTCTTACTGATTTTGTTGAATGTTCAAAAAAAAAAAAAAAAAAATTAGACATAAATTCTTTGAATTGATCTTTTTTTTTTTTTTTCTTTTTAAATTATTTCTCTCTTCATCCCAATCATCTGAGCAAGGTAAACTTTTACTCCTTGCAGTAAAAGCCTTCAATGCAAAATAGCTCAAATTTATGAAACGAATGCTCTCTGCTTCCATGTTACCTGGCTTCTAATCATTGTCAACTTAGGCCTCACTTCTCAAATATTCTTCTCACGTCATATGAAGGTCTGAATTAGATGAATGTAAAGTCTATTCAAAGTGTGAGTAAAACAAATAAGAGTTTGAATATTCAAAACTAATAGTCTCCAAGATTAATTTTCTTGGGCTTTGTACAACAAATGGAAGTAGAAAGCAGATGAGCCTCCTGTGAATGTAAGAAGCAGTAGATCAACCACATACACATATACCTACCCTCCTCGTCTTGAGACATTCATATGGACTACAAATAAATGGCTGCCAACTGTTTTATTTTATTTTATTTTTTTTTTAATCTGTTCAAACACTTAACAACTATTTTGTAATGTCATATCTTTGAACATGTTGTAAATGTGACTACATTATTTTCTTTCTTTGTTTTCTTTTCTTTTTTGTTTCAATGGTGGACACCAAAAAACAAAAAGGAGGTTTGGGAGATTGTTTAATTGGCTTTTTTCTATTTCTTCTAAGGAAAGAAATACAGAAAAAAGATTTCATAAAATGCTATTTCTAATATTGATAGATTGATGGAATACATGACTCATTTTATTTTCGTACCCTTTTTCTAGAATCTTTTAGGAATTCATGTCTTTAACTTTATTTTCATTGTACTGCTTTCATTTTGCCTGAATTTTTTAAAATTCAATTTATAATAAATTTTGTCTTTTTATGATTGTTACGATATATGGAGATTCATTACAAAAAATTCTTCTGCATACACAAATGATTCATGTGAAGTTGATATGCTTTTGAATTTCTCTAAAGCTTTCTTGAAAATACTGCACTTCTTGAAGACAGCAAAGTTGTTGTACGGTCAAATTTTCTAGAACTGAAGGATGTGGGGGTGCCTCTTTGTTATACAGCCATTTTAGGCAGGTGGTCTTTCTTCTTAGAAGCCTGAGTCAGGATTTTTTTTTTTTTCTGTGTTGGAAAAGTGGGTGGGAATGGTATATAAGACATATTAAAACAAAAACTTGAAAATATCATCCAATATTGTGATGGAAGACATTTTTTTTTTTTTTTTTTTTTAATGCTTGTTGTAAACAATTCTAATTGTAGTTTGAATTTTTCCATTCCCAAATATTGGGGAAAACAAGTGATCACACTTTCACCCTTCGCCTTCTCACTACTACTACTACTATTATTATTTATTGCTGCAGCTGCTATTCCTCCTCCTCACAACTATAACCATAATGCTAACTCTCTTTGTGATGTCTTCGAGAAACATGCACATCTGCAGTAATCATGAATCTGATAAATGCATTCTCCAATTGGCAAAGCTTTCACACTGCATTTCTTTCTTCACTTCTTCCTATATGAAGGTAAGCAGTATGTAAAGGGATATATATATATATACACACACACACACACACACACGTTTGTAATGACAGTTGAGCATTCACTAAGGTTGGTTGCTGCTGTTACTGCTGCTATGACTGCAGAGCTTAGGCAGAAGCTTGTTAAAGCCCCCAGAAGGTGGTACAAGATGGCCACTGCTCACTTGGCTGTGTGCTAGGGTTTGGGGGCTTCTTTACAAATGTTTCATTCCATTTAAGAAAGATGATATGGATTTTATTTGAAAATATGAAAATCATTTGCAATGATTTGAAATAAACACTTTGGGTGATGTTATACATTTCTTTCTCTTGTATTTCTTTAGCTGATTATTATTATCTCTGTCTCATAATAGTTATGTTTGCATACACACCTTTCATACATTATTAAGGGACAGATGTTTGTTTTTTCTTTTTTTTAACATTTTTTTTCCAGGAATGTATATGATGAGCTTTTTTGCTTTGCTAGATTTGTTTTTTTTTTTTTTTTTTTTTTTTTTTTCATAAAATTGGTATAAAGTGTTATTTATTTATTATTTTTGCTTTTATCCTGATCTTGAATGCTAGGCTCATCAATATTATCTTTTGTAAATATTTGTATTTATTCTCTTTTAGTAATTTGTTCAGTAAATATTTTTCTGTAAAATAGCTTGTGTCAGAATGTCATCTTTTGATCTTTCCTAACACTTGAGTTAAGGAAAGATTGGATATCACTTGCTTTACTGCAAATAAACTGTTGAATTTACAATTAGCAAAATGAGTTTTCAACAGCTCATTAATAAATTGCCTTAATCCTCATAGGATCGTAAGTGCACCCAGTTATCTGGTGTTTTTATTTATGGTTAAAACCTCTTGGTAATTATCACCTTTGCAAGTTTTTATGATTGTAATGTCTTCTCAATTTTGCCTTTCAGTTTGAGTTCTAAGGCTTTTGTATCGGGATTAAAATAGAACTACCTAATGAGACAGAAAGGAATGATTATATTATATAAAAGTTAGAGATATTTAAATAAGTTGAGTAAAAAGTAAATAATTGCTATTATATGCCCCAAACTAACAAAAAGTACTTTCAGAAAGAAGAGATGAACACTGCTAATTAGTCTTCATATATCATTTGTCATGAGCAATTAACACAGTTGATAATGTCTAAAAATAACAATGAATCATGAAGCAATTGGAAGAGGGGGGGATAAAAAAACTAAAAGGACTTTTAAGGTATTTACTTGCTACCCTAAGACCACAAAACAGCACCTTTTTTTTTTTTTTTTTTTTTTTTCTGTATGATAGTTATATGTAGAAACTGCCTATCTTTATCAGCTTTTGAGTGAAGCATTTATGATGTCGTGCCCCTTCTCTTTTATGTGTAATAAGGAGAAAGATTAGTCCACAGGAGCCTTTTTTTAAGCTGTGAATAGCCAGAAACCTAACATTTACCTGAAAATTATTTTCAGAAGGTTATTCGTTCCCCTGTGCCACTATTTTTAGTCACTATAAATTTTGAAGCTTCCTTCACTGGGGCAAGTCAGCAGATGATTACAGTTTGTTGTCCATAACATATACCCTGCTACTTGGATATTTAAACACTTACATAATGCCATTTGTATTTTGTTACTATGAATAATTGCTCTATAAGGTTATTTTATACGCTATTTGGGTAAATAAAATTAAATTTATAAAGAATAGTAAAGTGTATCCTCTGTACTGGTTTTATATTTTTATCCTTTATAGCATGTGACATATTTCTGCATCTGCTGTATGTACAAATTAAAGTATTAAAAAACAGAAAAAGGGTTTTATGATCTAAAGAGAGAGAAAAAAAAAACCTGGGCCAAATTTGATTTAATGTTAATCAAAAGTAACATTCCACAAAATGCAAATATTTATTACAATTTAGCAGGTTTAGTATTGATATGAGTTAAATACTTCAATAATTTAATATTTTCCACTCTAAATGATTGACATGAAATGATCTATAAGGGCTGGTATGCTGTTAAACAGTTTAGCTTTATATTACCCAATTTATATGACAACATGGAATCAAATTTTTCTTCAACTTTCTTAACTGAAACAATTGCCCTTTTCTTCACTCCAAGGTAACCTGTTTAGGACTTCAAGATGGGTTAAATGAAAACAAAATTTTAAATGAATTTCTTTCTTTCCATATTCACTTTGATTATTTACTAAGATATTTGCAGAGGTTGCCATGTTCAATTTTCTATTTATGAAGTATGAGTGAGAAGACTGGCTTGAACAATTTATGCGATTAAAAATTCCAATAAATCTGTATGTCTTCCCAGTCAGTTGATGTGTGTGTGTGTTATCTCTTATGTTGTTTGAGAAAAATGTTCCTTTTTGATTTTTGAGTTAATTTGGGAGCAAAAATGTTTCTTTGGTACTCAGTGTTGGTAAGAGAGGGTGAATTTGATTCTTGCTGGTTGCCCTCACCCCTCTATACTTGTGGACTCATGCAATACTTAGCTGAACTACTCTGATAATGAAAGCTGAGTTTACTAGCCTATTGGCTGAAACCTAGTTTAAAAACAAATTAAAAAAAAATCTTTATTTAAATTATTGGGTTGGGGAGTTAGTTACCTTGCACTGCGAGAGAGCTCTCATTCTCACACACACACACACACACACACACACACGTATATATAAGAATGAAAAGAGTACAATTCCAATGTTTGTAACATTTAATTTAAAAGAGGCCTCAATACAGAGTAGAGCAATATTATTTATTTTAGGATATTATATGGAAAACATGTCAAAATCACTACACAATTGTAGTCGTGTTTCAATCTTTATCAAATACAGATCACCTGATGAGATGCATTTGATATGCATTGAAAGATGACTGCAATTGTGTAGCGATTTTGACATCTT